AAGCGTTTAGTTACTGTAGGGAATACCAGTGTTTTATTTTTATATTGTATGAATATCTTTGAAAAATTCAAAAGTATAAGAATGCAGACTATCTCCTCTTAATACATACTTTATAAAAATCTATTTTTAACTAGTGTTAAAAACATTTGTATCGTTGTCTTTTTAAGGCTTTTCATAAACTCAAAAAAATTATAAATTAAATTACAAGTTGCTATAAATTAATGAAATACTATGAGATACTTCATGTACAAAAGAAATTGAGCTCTAAGACAAAAAAAAAGCCCTGCTAAGGTGATATCAAAACATTTTGTTTTAAGCATTTAGCCTTAAGAAAGTATAATGAGGATTTTCAATGTGCTCAATGATCATACAAAAGAAAAACTCAAAGACAATTTGAAATGCTATGCTGGAACACATTTGTTTTAAGTAGAGATCAATCCACATGTGTTTGGAGCTAGTAATGGAATTTTTCATTATCATTCTTCTGACTGCAGCTCAATTCAGTACCAAAGCATGCTTAAATTTAGACACGTAAATGCTCCTTTTGAATTCAAAGTATGGATTCATGTACTGGACTGCTTCCTGATTGGGAAAGCATGTCAGTTTTGGCAAAGATAAGACTTCTATTCTCCAAAAATATTAAATAGTAACATTTGGTCTATTTCATTTCTCACTGAAAAACATACAGAGAAAATTATTTACCTATGACCATAGCAAATCAGTAGTATCATGAATGAGGATGACTTTAAAAAAAAAAAAAAAAAATAAGTGAGCTGATACTCAGTGGCTTCATGGGAAATATTGCACTGGTTCATCTTCTAACCTCTTTCTCATTAATAGTTAATACTATTAATGAGAAATACAAATATATATATATTATTAATTTCATTGTTATACAGTTAATGAAAATAGATCAGATGGTTCTTACTCCCACTAAAAAGCTGGACAGTGAGTCACAATTACTTCTATAGAAAACAAGCAGTTTAGCCAAGGGCAATACATGTCCTGTATTCTTCCTGTCCTGTCGTACTGACCCTTTTTCACAGCTCAATAAGGGCACAACTCACCATGGGGCAACAGATTAAGAAACACTTTGCACAAGAGCTCTCCATCCCTCAAAATAAGAAAGCAGACAGAGGAGGCAGGAAACTGGCATGACTTGGCAAGGACCTGCCAATCAAACTGAGGAAAAAGAAGGTCAAGCACAGGCAGTGGAAACAAGGACATATCACCTGCAAAGATTACAGGGATGCTGTTTGGATGTGCAGAGATGGGATTAGGCATGCATGGAACTGAATTTGGCAAGGGATGCTAAAAACAACAGGAGATTCTATAGATACATAGGTCAGAAGAGATAGGCCAAAAGAGAGTATGCCTCCTTTGATAAATGAGAAAGGAGAACTGGCTACAACAGATATGGGAGAAGGCTGAGATATTCAGTAAGTTCTTTGCCACAGTTTCCACTGGCAGGCAGGATTCTCATATTTCTCACATCCCTCAACCTCACATCCCTTTCTTGGTGGGAACTGGGGGAGCAAACTCCCCCCACACTGTAAGGGCAGAGCAAGTCCGAGAGAGCCTCACAGACTGGATGCGTACAAGTCTATGGAGCCACACAACATGCATCCCAGGGTCCTAAAGGAACAGGTCAGTGTGGTTGCCGAGCCACTCTCCATCATATCTGAAAAGTTGTAGCTGTCAGGGAAAGTCCCTGATGATTAGAAAAGGGGAAACATCACTTCCATTTATAAAAAGGGAAGAAAGAGGACCTGGGGAACAATGGACTGGTAAGCCTCACTTCTGCCTGAGAAGATCATGGAATAGGTACTCCCAGAATACATGCTGAGGCACGCAAGGCATAAACAGGTGATCTGAGACAGCCAGCACAATTTCCACAAGGGAAGGTCATGCCTGATCATTCTGGTGGCCTTTGCGATGGAGTGATGGCACTGGTTGACAACAGAAAGGAATCTGACATCATTTACTTGGACTTCTGCAAGGCCTTTAACACGGTCCTCCACCACATCCTTATCTCTAAATTGGAGAGATACTGATTTGAAGGGTGGACTATTAGGTGGATAAGGAATTGGTTTGAAAGGTCACAGCCAGAGGGTTGTGGTCAATGGTTCTATATCCAGGTGAAGGCCAGGAACAAGAAGTGTTCCCCAATCTGTCTGTTTTGGAATCAATACTCTCTAACATCTTTACCAATGACATAGATAACGGGATCAAGTGTACCCTTAGAAAATTTACTGATGACACCAAGTTGAGTGCTGCAGATGATACAGCAAAGGGATGCCACCCAGAGAGACATTTATAAACTGCATAGGCAGGCCCTTGTGAACCTAATGAGTTCAACATAGAAAAGTGCAAGGTTTTGCACTTGAGTCAAGGTAATCTCAGATACGTACAGAGACTGGGAGAAGAACTCCTTGGGAGTACCCCTGAGGAGTACCATAAGCTGAGAAGGGCTTATGGTTCCTAGTAGGGGAACATGAGCCAACAGTGTGCACTTGTAGCCCAGAAAGCCAACAGTATCCTGGGCAGCATCAGAAGAATGATGGCCAATAGGACAAGGGGGGTGATTATTCCTCTTCTATGCCATCATGAGGCCTCATCTGGAGTACTGCATTCAAGTCTGGGGCTTCCAGCTCAAGAAAGAAATCAAGCTTTTAGAGAGGGTCCAGAGGAGGGCCACGAAGATGATCAGAGGGCTATAGCACGTCTCCTGTCTAGACAGAATGAAGGAGCTGGGTTTGCTCAGTTTAGAGAAGGCTGTAGGGAAACCTCATTACAACCTTCCAATAGCTAGAGGGAGATTATACACATGAGGGAAATAAACTTTTTACATAAGTAGATAATAATAGGACAAGGAAGAATGTTTTTAAACTAAACGAGGAAATATTTAGCCACGACATCAGGGAGAAGTTTTTCACTGAGAGGGTGATGAGGTACTGGAACAGGTTGCCCAGAGAGGTTGTGGACGCTCCATCCCTGGCGGTATTCAATGCCAAGTTGGATGGGACCCTGGCAACATGATCAAGTATTCAACCTAGAATCCGGCAACTCTATGTGCAGCAGAGGAATTGGAACTTGGTGATCCTTGAGGTCTCTCCCAACCCAAACCATCCTGTGATATGATTCCATAAATAGCCATCCACAAAAACAAAGGCCTGTGGTCTTCTTCCACAGCCATTGCTGCTGGCATCTCTGTTGCAGTTTGAGACAGAATGAAGAAGAGAAGTCTGGCATTGATTGCAAAATGGCTAAAAGCACAAGACTAGCAAGACACCCCCCCTTGTCTCTTGCCCAGGCACCAAAATGCACCCTTGCTAATGTGATCTGTGGGGAGAGAGCAGACCACGTTCCGTTTTGCACACCAAAAAAACATCAATCATATTTGAAGGAAAAAATAAAACTAAAAAAAAAAAAAAATTTCCAAATTTGAGCACAGAGGACTAGCAACACTACTCTTCTCTAAATCAGAGAGGAAGCAAACCCAACTAATATTTGGTATTATATGTATTTATCAAAGCATCAGAGAAAAATACATTGTTTTTATAAAAGGGAGAGTAGTGTCATCAAACAAACTCACACTAAGGGTACATAGGAGATCTTTAGCATAGACCAATTGAGTGACAATAGACCGATACTTCTAACAACTAGAAAAAAAAAATTCTCCCTAGCACTCTTAGTCCTACCCAGCCCACCCTCTCCTACTTCTATAATCTCCAGTTTCTGAAGTGCACTCACTTCTGCAAAATTCTCCATATTGGCATTGGTGCTTCCCTCATACTCTTGCTGAACCATCAGGAGAGCCAAGTCTCATCCCTCTGCATGATGGGCACTGTTGCACTGCATGCATCTCTCTTCTTCCTCTCAAGCACTGCCTGTTCCAGCACTGAACTTCAGCCCAAAGCAAGTGGATATGCATACAGAGGGAGGGCCAGCAGTTCACAACAGATGGCTGTGACCTGCCCCTGCAGCAGCCAACAGAGAAGAATTTATCCTGACATTTGTCTAGAGAAATGGAATACGAAGCCAACAAGCTGCGTCACAATCTCAGCTGAAGGAGGATAATTTGGGTCCAATAAACATTCCTTGTTCTGCTAGAAATAGTTGCTGTAGATAATCCTAGTGGGTCTTTCCCAACCTTCATGATTCTATGAAATAGAACACCAAAAAACTAGGAAAACAATGATATAAGATAGTACCACATCCCTCCACAGTTATCAATAGTAGACAGATGAGTTGTAACCTCAAAAATACTTGCATCAGAGTACAGGATGATGCTTGACTGAACAGAACTAGTTTAATTTCCCAGGTTATTCTTCCAGCATTCAGCATCAACATCAGAATGAACTCGCAGCAAAGGAGACTTTTCACTTCCCAGCAAAGATAGGGACAGTTCTAAAGCACATTAGTGAGAAGAAAAAAAAGGATGTAATAGGTTCTCTAAAATGTACTCCAAAATGAAGCCCATTATGAAAGTGTTTCTCAGTGTTAGCTTCTGTATTTCTTAAAGCATGCGCAGAAGTGCATTCTTTATTCTAGCCTAACAGGGACATGTTATCTTTACAGGTGTGTAGATGATATGAGCTGCGTGAAGGAGCACATAACAAAGCTCCTCCACGCATACATGCACACCATGTCAACCAGATAGTTAATGAAAATCTCAAGACAAAGTACAAGATTTCAAGTATACAAACTATCAAGTACACTTTCAAGTATACTACTATTTGACTATACAAATTTATAGTAATGTTATTCAACCCAAGATGAATTTCACTACTGAGATAGGCAGGGAGGACATGAAGGATGCCCAAACTACTACTATAAAATCAGGAAGCGGAATTTTTATAGAGAATTTACAAAGCACAAGTATTTCCTTCTTATTGTTAGACAATAATATAGACAAAGAATAATACATGACAGTGTGCACAAGGTAATGGCCATTTACTATTACAAAAGATTAAATTTCTAAGTACATGCTTGCATACCTGTTGTACAATTGTTGTCAGCTCCAGACAGAGTTGTATTACGTTATTTCTTGTTACAGAGTAATCTGTCACAGCAGCAAAAGGTGATCTAAAAAGAAAGAAGGAAAAAAAAAATGCTCAATGACACTGTCATATATCCACTTGTTTCAGTGGCTCACAATGAACTTAGCGCCCATAGGACTTTCTTAATGCATTTCTTTTCTAGTGATATTAAAAGCACAGATAATACTAAAATCTATTATTAAAATTGTAAATTGCAGGATACATATCCACGGAAAATGTTCAACTCTCCTTGTTTTTTCTTCCTTAAGAAGCTTCATTTATAGAAGCATAATTTCTCATAGTCTTTCAGCGCATTCCTGAACTACTTTCACACCCCTAGAAAAAACATCCCACATTGCCTTCGGCAGTTGTTTGGGAACGCCATTACTAAGGTGCCATTTTCACCTCTGATATGGATGGTGCACAGATATGAATTGCACCAGGAAAGTATTTCACTGACTCACTGCAATTTCCGGAATCATGTCTGATGTCTAATATAATTACTGGAGGAACTCAAAAGAAGCAAAAGTTTTATCCAAATGAGAATGCCATTTAGAGCCAGAGATGAATCAACACTCAAAAACAGTTACAAAGGATAAACTGGAGGCACAGCTTAACATCTCCCCACACTGTACCACAGTCAGAAGTGATTGGTGAAATGAAAAATGTAATCCAGCACTTAAAGAAGTCACCTACATGCATCCTACACCTTAAACGTCATGTCAGAATGCTTTAAATGATTATCTACCTTGTCTAGAAGCTTGCTTATTTTCTGGAGGCCCTGCTAAAACATATTTGGTTAGTGAGGCTGCAGTCCTCTGATTTTTGTGTTACAAATCTGTCTTAAAATATAAACACAACTTGATCTATTCTGTGTACTCAAGAAACAGTCAAACTAGGCAGGGCTGGAATTTTCTGCAAGTGAACAGTTCTACTCCACCAGTGTTGCAAATGAGGCTTTTACAGACATTATTACCATCACAAAGATGACATTTCTCCATAATACACTTGCTTCAAACATTTAAAACAAACAAACAAACAAAAAGGTGGCAAAGTACTGTGTGGAATATAATGTCTGAATAAATTAACAACAGATCATGCAGTATATAGATCAAGTATTTGAAGAGAAGTGGCTTTTAAATAATCTGGATCACTTGTCCTTTCCCAATTGTCACAAAATCTGGGAGCATTTATATTCATAAAGAGCTCCCAACTTCCTAATCTAAACCTAAAGACAAGTTGCCAGTACAAAGAACTCTGCTACAAGCATGTCTAAATGAGAACTATGGATACAGTTCTACTGATTCTTAGTAGTTTTCTAAAATTTTTTTCTGTGTGCAAAGTTGCTGAACTTTTAGTACAGGCAGATTTTGCCAACAAGCCCATGTGAATTTTATCTTGTTCTAGTGCTCTCTTTCTTCTCCAGAATTTTAAATCCTGCCCTGATGGTTCAAAAAATGACATGAACTCTGAGGCGCATACTCAAGACAAGCAGATTTAATTTGATGTAATACATTATACAACAAAAATATATTTTTTCTACCTTTATTTTCTAGGGAATTCAAAAATAAAATTACAGAAATAAGAAGTCTGGCAGAGTTTAAGAACCATATAAGCAAGCAGACAGTAGAATCTTGGTACGTAGCATGTAGATAAGTTCTGAAAGGTGCCTGACAAAAGCCATTTGACACAGAGCTGTAATCAAAATTGAAAATGCAAGTTTTAAACTGTACAGTACATACAAACTACATAGCAGGTTTACCTACAGTTACAGAGTATTACTGAAGTTCAGTTGATATGAGAGCTTATTAAAGGATGAAAGCTGACTGTATTTCTTGGTTACGAACGATCATCGTGTTTAAAAAAAAAAATAAAAAAAAATAGTGCATTAGCCAAAATGTACAAAAACACCCTTTTTCCCCTTTTAAAATTGTGGCTGTTGAGGTTTTATATCTACCTGAAACCTTTAAAAAGGTCATGTTAACTTATGAACTCATTTTTACTTAGAATGAATGAAATCAAACCAGCAAATGGCATTCTTTTACTTTAAGTATGGATGTTAATACAATTTGATCCTCAAATTACACAACTGGAATCTATTTGACATTTCAAAGCCTCCAGCACTGCTCTAAACAAAATCGCATGGTAGGCTTTGGCTTCTAAAACTGTATGATTTTATCTCATACTTTTACAATTTAGTTGGTTTCATGGTTCATGAGGAAAATAATGACTTTTTTACCATCATTGCTCTTAGTGAAGAACGTTAGAAATGCCCCAAATAAATTTTAAAGAGGAGGCAAAGAGACTGAGACATTACTCATTTTTATTACACTGAGGTTTACACAGTGAAGATTTACTGAAAACAGCATGGAAAGAAGTGACACATGGGTGGCAGCAGAAGGGAGAAGCTTCCTAAGAAACATGATCCTTATTAAAATATTTTGAGAACTGATTAATTACTTGGAAGGATAAGATGACAGGTCCTTGTTTCCTATGGAAGAGGTAAGGAGTCCTCAAGCTACCTCTTCTGTAGTTCTCTGTAGCTAATAAACTGATTCTCACATGGCAGTCTCTGCCAATGCTTCTATGGGATATTGCTACAAATTGGACCACTAAAATTGAAATTCCCTCTTCACCCTCTCCCCAGTTCAGTCCACTTCACTGGAGGTAATCGGCACACACATGGACTACTGCAGTAGGCAACTAGGATAGTAGCAAAAACAAAAGCCTCTCCAAGTATATTTACTGTCAAAGGATACTTATTTTGGTAATACATTCTGAACCTCAATTTCAACCATGAAAGTCCAGCAAGACTTGATATAACAAAGCAGTTTCAACATAAACATCAATAGAAAAGTCATTATGGAATCGCTGATTTCATAATAGATACACTGTGAAACACCGAAAGCTCCTCTTCATTAATATCTGATTTTAAAATGCATTGTTTCAATACAGTACAGAATTATTGACAGGTCAAACAGAAGTGAAGATAAATCCTACATACACCTTTTCAATTGGCTACTCCAGCACCTTCCTTCTCAAGACTTTAAAAACATACCAAGTTAGAGGAAATCCTTGTTTAATCAGACCACTTTTCTCCACTTTAAAAATATATATGTATTTCTTAAATGGTCTAAACCATTTCCATCAACCTCTAGATTTTATTATTTTCTTTCAAAAGTCTTTTGAGTCCCTTGGACCTTCAATTCTCAAGTACTTCATATGATTACATAGAAGCAAATTCCCTGTGAATAACTACAATATTCAACATGCATTTTGTTCAATTTAGGGTTCTTTAAATTAAATAAGAACTAAAAACTATCCTGGTATAAAGGCTATATGCTGTCCCACTTCCTGCTGTGGCATGATCCTTTGCCTTTCACTGCCTTGTTTCTCACAGGCTTTTCAAAATCTTTTCCATATACGTTTCCATATTCATTGAACCCTCTTCTCAGTTCCTCTTAAAAATTCATTATTTCTTCCCTCAAAAACTCTCACAGATCTTTTCCTTTTTGCCACACGCACATGAAACGCTTTCATAATTCTACAGCACATGTATGTTTCATGACCATGCATGCTAGTGATGAGGGAGCCTCTTAATTCTTCCATTATGTGTACCCACATTGTGAACCTGCACCATGCTAGACTTCATATATTCGTATTCATGTGTTGTAGACTGAAAGCCACTTGACAGAAAGTGCATTATTTGTGGGGTGAATCACTGAAATGTGGTTTCTCTTTATTTGGGTTTTCATTTGTTTTCCCAGTGCCATCCTTGCACAAACCAGATCTACCTTGTCAAGTAATAATCAAGCACAGCTAACAGTACCATATTGAGTCCCTTAAAGAGGAGGCCTCAAACTAGTAACAGCTTTTGTAAGAAGTTAGATGCTTGCAAACATTCAAGCCTAATTCTCCCAATAAATGGTCCTCTTTACTTACAATTACAGAAGAGTCACACAATAAACATAAATGAGGCTCATTCACTGAGAACAATGAGATGAAGAAATCCAACAAGACACACTTCACCTACAGTGTAAGAAAATGCATGCACTGTGTCACCATGGTGAAAAGAGGGGGAGTCATATATGAGTGGGAAATGCATTCTCCTAGCACAGTACTTTCATGCAAAGCATATTAAAAGAGTGTGCTGAAGGTGACCACCTAGAATTATTCATACGTAAACAAGAGCATCTACGTAATTGCAGGCTATACCCTGTGCATAACAAAGAATCAGTGAACAGGCTCAGTCTGTTCTGCTATCCAGACTTATGCACTGAAGCATCCAAATGTCCATAACTTCAGGCACAGATTAGAGCCTACCTTAACAGGACTGCAGCATATATACAAGTGCTTTGCTAAATATTAGCAAGTACTAATTGCTAATATTACTAACCTGGGGTTCAGAGTGAAAGAATTATACCTCATAATTCCGTGACTGCCCAAAAAGCTGATCTAAGATAACAGGAATGTCTTTTATTCTGAAATTTTACATTTTGTTACTTCTCTCAGCAATTTGACCTGCCTCTTTTATAGGACCAACAATTTCTATTTGCAGTAGGACTTTTTGTTCATTCATGTGCCGTTTTGCTCACGTATCAGACCAGAGATAGCAATGGTAAATTAATCAAACTCGTGCATATTTGTCAGCCTGCCAATTTTTCTCCAGCCACAACTCTGAAAGACTGGAACTCGAAAGCTATTTCCACAATATATCTTTGCTCCTATTACTTCGACTTCAGCCTAATCCATAGCAGCAGTTTAAGATTTTATGGGGATATATGCCAGGGTGAAAAACAAGGGGTACAAGAGCACTGCTGTGAAAGTCACACCAAATAGCTGCCCTAACAGACAGCTGAGTCAAAAAGTACAATTAAAAAAAAAAAAAAAGTCCAGTGTTCTCTGGCAAATCCTAATCCATGACCATGAAAATCTAGAACACAATACCACATGCAAAACTTCCTAGTAGTCGATCATATTTTCTTAATTTTTTAGAAAACAAATGAGATGTGAGAACAGCACAAGAGCTCTGTCTTAATCATAAAGGTACTTATAAGCTGCACTAAACTCCAAACTCAAAAAAGCTCTGGATAGTTTTCTGGAAACACTGTATCACTAGTTTTCATTTCATACTTCCCTCTGGACAAAAGCTTTGAAGTTTTCACTGTTGTCACTGAAGACGCAAGTGAAATACAAAAAAAAAGTAGCTTGATTATCAACATAGAGTGAATTCATAGTGCTTACAGTTCAATAAAGCCTCAAATGAATGGCACAATTTAGAAATTTCGCAGAGGCAGTGAACACAGATGCACACACAAAGCAACACTCGTAAAAGTGGTTTTATGTAGGACTGTAGGTGCATAAGAATAAAACATTACCTGGGATTGAAATAAATAAATATGTCTAATTTCTGTTTAATTGCACAGGTACCACTGGACACAGTACTGTACAGAAAAATACACTTCTATGAGGCTAGAAATAGCTTTAAGCCATAAAACTGGTTTATTCATGCTTTGAATCCACAGTAATGGACTCACAACAGTAATTCTACTTTAATCATACATTAAAGATTTTCTTTCTCTGGCATACCTCAAGTTTAAGTTTGGCTTGAGGGATCTACAACTTCTACCTCAATTCTTATTTTTAGATAACTTGAATGCATTTTTCAATAGCGTTTTTCCTTCATGTTTTCTAATGATTTTCTTTAACTATTTATTCAGTTTATTTTTCAGTTGCTTAACAGTACTCATCTTCCTCTTGCATTTATATCAAATAATCAATTTGCAGAGAAGTAAGTTGCCCAACTTTGAAGGTAATATTACGTGCACCGTTATTCAGAAGATACAAAGAAACACATTCACGATAACTGTTGTACATAATCTCAGCAAATAAAGTATATTGTATAGAAAGCACTGAGGTTTCAACCTCTTCAGGCTGAAGTGCATGAACCTTGTAAAATACAGAAGAATTTCCAGGAACCCAGTACACCAAACAAAAGAAAGATTCAGAACGATAGCATCAATTACTATTTCAAAGATTACAAGATACAAGAACTACAGGAACAAAGACTGAAAATAATAACTATCATCTAGCTTGAAGTCTGGATCGCCTGGACAGCTCCTCTCTTATTATTATCTAATTCCTAAGAAGTATCACTTCACAGCAGAGACATTTAGACGCCAAGTCATTCAGAACAGCAGACAAATAGTTTGTTGCTACAGTGTAGAGTATGTATTTCCATCAGCTTAAGAGCTAAGTTGCGTGTCAAGTGGAAATACATCATGCTTTCAGAAAAGACTCTCAAGATTTTCAAGGAAGCTCAAATCTAAGCACCCAGATGGCTTGCAAAAAAATTGAAGATTAGGGAAGGAGCATAAAATAAAAATTATTAAGACAAAATATTTTTTTGAAGATTTTGTGCTTTGAGAGAGTAAAGGGAAATTGAAATGAGTCTAAAAAGCTTAAGGGCATAATCTATTTGCGTGATGACAATTTCTTTGCAGAACATAATTACTAGGGAGTCATTTCATGCCCCTAAAAATTCTCAGCCAACCTCCTTTGAAAACAGCTAGAATTCTCTGCTGAAATTTCCAGTTCCTTAGTGAAATTAATCTTGAAGACCTCAAAACCTCAGCAGTAAAAGCTATCTTAATTTCCAATAAAAACCTCTATCTGTGACATACATCTGAAAGTACAGCTGCTACAAGCAAAGGCCTGGAACAAAGAGCATTCTTAGATCAGCTCCATACTGTGCCACTATAAGAGCTACAGTGAAAGTAATTCAGCAAATCACAACTTCTACAGTCTGTTTGATAATTGTACCTGGCCTCATGTATCATGGCTATTATAAGCAGCGAACATCCTATGGAAACATCATAAAGGGAGGGCTTGCTTGAGCAGCTGGCAAAGCAGGACTCATATGCTATCATCATCATTCCCCACGCATAAAAAAACCTCATCATTGCATTTCTAGGCAATGTGAAGCTGCTGCTGGCTGCATTTTCCCTGTGTGACCTGTGAGGCAAATCGACACAGGCACAATGGAGAATGGATGTTACTATAGAGTGGATAACCCTAATAACCAATTTATACCTCCAAATGGTTTTCTCTTCCCTCTCATACCCTACAGACGGAACTGGTGTTAGGCACCAACCAAAAGAATTCAGATTTGGCCCAGATTTTATAGCAATAGCTGTGCAGAATGAAATTAAATCCACGTTCCTGACTTCAGATATTTAATATCTAAAATCTTACTATCTCCCCCTAGTGGCCCCAACATCTGCTCAGAAAAAAATGTAATCAGCAGAATGCTGTTGTACTTCAGATGTTCCATCTTCCTGAGAAAGATACACTCATTGGCCTGCTCTCACTCCAGCTTGGGGATTTCACAAAAAAGGAAGAACAAACGTAAACAAGAAAGCTTCACATTCTCATAAATCAGAATCGACTTAAAATGTTACAGAAAACATTTGGCAGCACTACATGTTTAGGCTACGCAGAACATTAGAGGCACTTTCTCAGAAATCTGAATAAAATTAATACATTGCTTCAAGGAAACCTCATTTGCACGCTAAACACAACATTGCTAAAAGCTTTCACCATTGTTGCCTTAATTTTTAATTTCTTGGAACTCCTTGGTTTGATCAGCTTCAGATAAATGCATAAGTCATTTTGCATTTCATTTGAGAGTAGGATTCACATACACTTAAAAAAAACCAAAACATTTCAGAGATCTTTCTTCACCAACACTACAACTAAGCAGTTTACAGGAATACATTCACACATTAGCACTCAGATGCAAGCTTTTTTTTTTTTTTTTTTTTTTTTTTTTAACTGTTATTTGATCAGCCTTCCAGAAAAAAACAAACTAGTTGGCAGAACAATAACTTTTTTCCAGTGTTAAATATACATGAAAATCTACTTTTTAATTTTAGACTATTGAATGCAAAATATTATTTCCAATTTTTTATCCATTGTCCACAATTTAGATGAGAAAACAATCAAGGTCTTTTCTAAATGGAACAAAGTCCCAAACACTGATGTGCTTATGCAGAACATGATTTCATACTATTCCTTCTGTTTTAAAACTCAGAATGACACGCTACTCTCTGCCAAAAATTGCTTGCAGAAAAAAAACCAAACAACACGAGGACTACAGGTCTTCCAGGTCAAAGCAATAGGTTAGAGGTAAAGCTAAAAACAAATTCCCAATTCTTCAACTTCCAGTATCTAACTCTTCCCACAAAGCTTAATCATTTCTCTGCATATCTAATGTTATGTGCCTAGGTAGAAATGCAGGAGCACATCTTCATTTTTGAAATCTAAGGGAAGGCTAGAAAGGAAGGTAGAAACTCTGGTAGTTGGAGTCTACTGAATAAAAGAGTTTAAATTTCAGTTAGGAAATGGAAGAGATTCCTGTTTCACCTTACCCTTTCATAGGGAAATCAATTATGAGACAGGAGCCATCAATTAGATACAACACAGCAAAACCTAGAGAAGTAAACCAAAACAGCTCTATTGGATTCTAAGAACTACACAAAACTCATACTCTGAAAAACTTCAGCTGCTGGGTAAAAAAAAAATTAGATACTCACTAAAGGCACATCTTGCAAATCAGGGTAAGCATTTTATTTTTCATGATAAAAATGCTCTGTGATGCATTCTCATAAAGACAGGGAGACTCATTTCAACTACTTCAGGAGTTTACATGATCATCTTAAATACCCGCTTATGACTATTTCTATCACTAGAAAATTATCAATGCAGGTATACTAAAGGAGAGCAGTTAACCCTGCTCTCACATATTTTCTAGCTAATAAAATAAGAATATAAGCCCATTCCAGCTGCATCTACAGTTCTGAGGTATTTCACTGCAGTTAAAAAAAAAAAAACAAAACAAAACAAAAAAGCACCAATAGTAATTAAAAACACAACCAACACAAACTGCAAGACCACACACACACAGTAAAAGTCTATATTTACACATACATTATGAAACGTACGACTACAGTTTCGCCAGTTTGATTTTGTCAGAGCAAAGAATCTGATTTTTTCAGGTCAATGTATTATTCTATATTCTTAACGAAATATGCAGAAATCCTAATCATGTCAGCCTGGTGCTATACTGTATTTCCAGAAATGTGTAGGATTGCAGGGAATTTGGAAGTATTGTAATGTTATCAGAATCATGTACTGACAGTTAAATAACAAGGAAAAAAAAACTGCCACAAAGTTCTTCTTAGAATTTGTGAGTGGATTCTGCTACTGTGTAAATGTCTACGTTATGTTTTTTAAAGAGGCTGGGTTTTCAGCATGTCCATGAACTGGTTACCTGTGACACATATGGGATATTTTACCTGTCCAACCAAGCCAGGAGACTTTTAGCAGCTCCAATGAGATCCACTACTGATGTCAGAAAATCATTTGGTAATTTGCGGCTGGTCCTTCCATCATAGTGACCACTTCTCCTCCTCCCAGTGATGAAGTTCTGCAGATTTTTGGCAGATGCATTCAGTTTGTGTGAAAGAGTTTTCAGATTTTCTGTTTCCAAACCATAGTTCTGAAATTAAAATAGAAAAAAAAAAAAACAGAAAAAGAAACTTAGCCGTGCTACTGAACATGAAGTACTGAGAACAGCAAGACTGATCTCCTTCAAAACTTAACCATTCCCAATAATTAAGGTATAAATACACCCACTCATTAGATTTTAAATGTATGGCATGTTCTGTTTCTAAAGTGCATAAAAATAGAACAAAAGAAGAACAAAATTATGAGTGATCTTTTAGATGGTTTAAGTGAGCTAAGAAAAAAAACATCTCTTTCTAGTCTGGAGAATTGATTTTCCAAGCAGTAGACCCAGTAGTTCTCTCAGTAAATCTGACAGTTACAGAGCAGCCCCTTCTGCCTTCAGTCTCACTGATTCCTAAGACCATGTAAGAAAAGAGGGCTTGCAATTAGCAAAAGCGAACAGTATGAACACAGTGTAATATCAGATTGCTTTTATTGGAAGCATGTTTATTATCTTTTTTTTAATTCTTGTTAGCAGCAGAAGATCAGCATAATCACAGACCAAAGAACACAGTGCTACTTTGCTCAAAGTCTGTCTTGCCCATTTAGAGCTGTAAACTTTGCTTCCACTTAAGACACAGCTCCTTAAGCTGAAATTACAGTCCACTACTATGCAGCAGATACAAAAACAATTTTGCAGAAATATTAACAAATACTACTTGAAAATCCTTCAAATGCACTGAAATGGCACTAGAGAATATCCTAATTTAATGTTCTATTACAATTTATTACAGAAACAGAAGCAATTTGATAATTCTAAAATAGATGTTTTCCTCACAAATGCGAAGAGTACTAGCATTATTTAAAAAGAGATCTTTTCTTCCTATTTTAAATAAATACGCAACTGTGGAGACTTGAGCTTATCATTACCACAAGAGATGGGAGTGCTAAAAGTGCTCCTTGCCTAAAATACATCACAGGGTTATTATGTGGCATGGCTAGAATTTCATCTGAGGTAAGAGCTACTTGCTACTAACCAAGGTGGATGAAGCGGGATGCAAAAAAACTGCCTCAGCTACACACCAAAAAAAAAAAAAAAACACATTTCCTAACAACACTCCCTCTCTCTCATCCCAGACTCCCTGGTTTGGTCACCATACTAATCTGTCTACAAGAAGGGATGTGTTTACCAATTCCAGTCTAAGACTACTGAAGCTTATTACTGTGATTTTTATTTTTTTTTCCTACAGGCAAGGATTTTTTTTTTCCTCTCTTGTCTGTAGGAAAAAAAAAAAAATTAAAAAAAAGATTATTTCCAGCAGTTGTCATTCTCCTAATCCACACCATTTACTAAATCAACTTATCTACTCTTTAATTACATAGGGACTCCAGGAAGATTACACTGTCATAAGACCCAGTAAACACAGAGCCCCTAACCCTTCCACAGTCCTAATTCCAGGACAATGCTGAAATACTGCGGAAAACAGAGACTTCAGAATATGGCTTGGATGTATCTCCCATCCACATCCTTTCAATACCTGTAAATTGAACACACTTAATAAGGAGTCACTACAATGTCAGTCATCTTTCCCACTTCTGGACTCAGCTTAAGAGGGAAACAAGCATATGCTAAGATTGCATTTTAAAAATCTCTACAGCAATATCTGAGAACATCGTATTTTAGCTAACAAATGGCTTTGTGGGAATGTTTATAACTGCACAGTTTCTGCGTAGGCACTGTCCGTTGCCACCTCATTCAGTTTCCAATTAGACAGTCGGTGCATTTGGGCAATGACTTTAAATATTCTATAGCAATTATACAACAGATAGAATTAGGCCATAAATTAAAAATTTACAAGATGAAAACAATAGATTAGGAAAGAAAAGTAAAAGATACTTTGTTGTGCAGTTAAGCGGCTCGTAATTAATAACTTATTAAATCCGCCCAAATTAAAGAGATAAACATCAAATAAAAACAAATTTGTTTTTCCTGCAGTTTTCTGTGGTTGCTGTGGTTGAAAGAGCTTGATGAAGATGTAGGGCTCAGGAATAAGCTGGAACAACAATAAATAGAACAAGTTTTTTTTAATTTCCCTTCTTCTTGAGCATCTAGCTTGTTTGGATGAAGTAATTAATCAGAAAAGAAATTAAGTCTACTCTGTACAAAAAATATGTCATGGAAAGTTTCTTACAGATCACCTTTCTTGAGCAAACTCAGAAAAGCAAGCCTACCACAAGACAACATGTATTTAGAGTCATGCTCACATTCCCAAACACTGAGAGGAATGACTGCAAGCTACAGCCCTGTCATAGGTCTCCTCATGAAATTTCCTTCTTTCTGATGCACAGAAAAGCAGAATTTCTTAATTAAGGTGTTTGTCAGTGGGAAGCCAGTGGTTATCCAAATACTGTGCTCACATTCACCCTCAGCAACTTGAGTTCTGTCACACAGCACCTCTAACTCTTGTCACACTCCAGGTGCCTCAGTATTACTGTAGCTTTCACAACAGGGCCTGTATTTCAAGTTTCCTAATCCCGTGGCACCATTCCTTCTGTAATCCAGGGGAAAGTGCTGGAAGGGCTGCCACAAGCCACGCCAACCAAGGGCGCACTGATCCCGAGCCAAAGCTGGGCACAGGGCCCACAGATGGATGCCTACGCCACAGATGGATGTCCATGCCAAGGCCCAGGCTTCAACCTGAAGCTCTCCCTTGACAGCCCTGAATTACTTCACCTCTTTTTTCCTCCATCCTCCTCTCTGCAGCCTGACCTGCACCTTGCCAGTTCAGAGAGGCGAGCAGTGGGTAGCACCCAGCAATGATGGTCTGTGCCTACTGCAGCAGAAGCTCAGGTCAAAAACACCCAGGCCTCAAGTCCCAGCAGAAAGAAAATCATCAGTAAAACTAAAACAGTGAGCAAGACAGTCAAAAAAGTATTCTGTGACAGAATAACAGGACACGTTTGCATATATGCTTCTTTAGAAAAGCAGCTCCTATAAAAGCTTAGTAGTCTCATTGATGTTTCAAGTGATGACCACGTACAAATGTATTCTCTTTCCTTTTCGAGACATCTTTTTTCACACTCAGATACATGGAAATGAAGGGACAATGTTAATGACCACAAAGTCTGTGTCCAGATACATTCACCAATACTTCTTGTTTTCTTACTGCAAAAAACAGAGGGCTTCAGTTGGTATCTAAGCTGCATTCAATTTAATCATTCATTAGGAATGGTGCTGGTTTTGGCACAGCCTCCACCTGCAGTATGAGACAGATATAGGCAGGGGTGTAAAACAGATATAAATTTCATGCAGAGTAATACAACGGCTGCTCTGAAAGTAAAGCCTCCTATTTTAATATGTTGGCCCATGTCAGAGGCGGGTGTTGGTGGTATGGCAAGAAGAGGCTGAATCTTCCAAACAATATTATGCTATATTGTGTTGCTGCATGACAGAAGGCAGCAGAGAGGCAGTCTGACTCAATCACATCTGACATGGAAGTACAGATGAAGAAAAGAAGTGGAACTGAATTCCTCCATGCAGAAAAGATTGTACCCACTGACATTGGCACTTGCATAATGTTGATAGAAACCCAACAGTGGCTGCAAGCACAGTGAATCAGTAGGTGGTGTTTCAGCAGTAGCAACAGCAGATCACCTCCGCTAGTGCAAATTTTTATAAGCTCAACATGCAGACTCTCATTCATTGCTTGTGAAAGTACATAGCTAATGGTGGTGACTATGTAAAAAAAAAAAAAAAAAGGCGTTCAGGCATTCTTTAAGGGAAAATTTGCTTCACCAAATAGAGTTATTGTTCTCCTTGTAGTTCTGGTAGTTTCCATAGAGGCATTACTTTTGGAGCAAGCTACATATTTTTGGGCATCTCTTTTTAAAGAAGCCTTCAATGAGAAGGCTCCTAGAACAGCAGCCAAGCTAACAAAATCCCCACTTGATATATCACTAATATTTCCAGTCCTCATTAAAATTAAAAAAAAAAAAAAAAAAAAAAAAAAAAAAAAAAAAAAAAAATCCAATGTGTCATGTGTTTCAATACTGGGGAAAAGGTTGTTCAAATAATTACTGCCAAGTTCGGTCTTACTTTATATGTGATCAAATACTATTAATAATATGCTTCTTGTAGACATACAGTGTTTATCTCTAAGCAACGTAAAAAGATAATTGCAGGCAAAGATGACAATTCTTTTGTTTTTCCCTACTCTGTATTTAGCCTGCACTAACGCAAGTTATAGTGTCATTAGCCAAGATAAACTTATAGTCATTGAAAGAAGCATAAAGCAATCTGTGTGCTTGTAGAGATTACTAGCAGTAAGGCAAATCTATACATCTGCTTTCTCAATGAGGAGCCACAAAGGAAGAGTCTCTTCAGACACCACCCCGAACAGAAATGGCTCTAATGGCATCTTTTCTCACAATCACAAAACAAGAACTTGATGAAGCTTAAGTGAAATAGCTTGTCAGCAGGTGTTTGAGAGAAAGGTGGTGAGAACTATTAATAGGCATTTTACCTACTAATTACTTCTCTGTGGATTCACATGGTAGTGATGAATTGTAGCTCTTTTCTTTACATGCTGACAAGCAGCAGCTGTAATCACTAGTGATTAATTTTGATTATTTTTTATTGGTGGGGAAAGCCAGCCTAGCCCTCTCTCTCTGCCCATCCATCCTTGCATCAGCATCACAGGCTAGAAAGAGAGTTAAGTTACCAAACTTTGGAAGTGAAATGAACTTTTGGAGGCAAGTTTGATCAATAACTAAAAAATAAAAATATCAGATCAGAGCTCAATTTCTTCTTTCATTAAATGCACTTAAGCCTTTATAGCAGGTAAGTACATCTCATATTGCTAATACCGGTTAGAAAGGAGAGCATTTCTATCTCATACAGTGCTAACAATTTCTGCTGGCTCAGACATGGTGACTAGAGGCTGCTGACACACTTCAGAGTATGCCACCACTGTTGCAGTGCAACACAAAGACACAAAAATGTCAAGTTCAAGTATCAAGAGAATTCCATGTCTGAATTCATCACAATATACT